TTGAACTTGTTATACATTGTTATAAAATCAGCCATTAAGATCTTTCGGGACTCAATAAGTCATAGATTGGGATTTGTTATATACACCTTCAACTATTCTTGTTTTAATTTTTCTACAATATTATAACTGCTTGTTTGTGTACTTTACTTTCTTGCAAAATTAAAACAATCATTTTTAAAATTAATCAAAATTTTCAAAAACCTAAAACAAATTGTTTCAAAGGTAACCATTAATCCTTTGAAATTTCACTAAACTTAAAACGTCCTTTTGAATTTATGAGAGTCCCTCGGAGGAGGTAACCCATCAAAGGACATTTTAAGTTTAGTAAAGAGATCTCCCCAGTTTAAATGAGTTGAGCTAAGTAAATTCAAAAGAAATAAGTGATACCAGAATGAGGGAACTGTGGGATACAAACGGGTGTCGCTTTAATCGACTTTAACATTCCCCTTGATATTTAAATAACCATAAGCTTAGAAAACACTTGATTTGACATCAGGGCTTGACACATTAGAAAACTTAAACTCCCTATGACGAGGAGCTTGGAGTTAGCATTATGGGCAGCATGGTCATCTTCAATATCAAAACATGTCTACACCAGCTAAACCATTTCTTAAAATTAAACAACCCAGTCATAGGATTTCGAGGTTATCCACATAGTGTGATATAAATCCTTAACTTATATTTAGGCTTTTGTATAGCTCTACTATACAATTTAAGCTCTAACTCGTTTTAGGATTATGAGGTTGTCGTTCGTCACGACCTAAATCCTCACATCTTCCAGACTATTTGTATGATCGTTTCACATGAATATAAACCCTAATTAATAAAAATCCTTTAAACCATTAGGAACGAAATAAAGAATTAGCTAATATCTTAATATTCAACAAAAAATTAGTCATAAGAACAAAAGCATTAAAATATAGACATTTAGATAAAGAAGAATTTAAAATTAAAATAAAAGAATTGAAAGATTTAGGATTAATTAAACCATCAAAATCTCAACATAGATCAGCTGCATTTATGATAAGAAACCATGCAGAAATTTTCAGAGAAAAAACTCGAATGGTTATTAATTATAAATGACTAAATGATAATACTAAAGACAATGAATATAAAATACCTGATAATGATATGTTAATAAATCTATTACAAGACAAAAAAATATTTTAGCAAGTTTGACTGTAAATCAGAATTTTGGCAAATAAAATTAGATAAAAAATCCATAAAATATGTTGTATTCACTACACCTATATGACACTAAGAATTTTTAATTATGTTTTTTCGCTTAAAAATGCACCTAGTATATTTCAAAAAAAAATGGACAATATATTTAAACATCTAGATTACGTTCTAGTATATAAATGATATATTAGTAGCATCTCATACATTAAAAGACCATTATAAACATGTAGAAGAAGTTTTAAAATTATGCATAAAGAATGGAATTATTTTATCAAAAAAGAAAATTGAAATTACTAAAGAATATATCACTTTTTTAGGTCAAAAAATTGGTAAGGGTGAAATAGAATTAGAAGATCATATATCTAAAAAAGTATTAGATTTCCAGATAAAATTGAAGATACAAAAGATTTACAAAAATTCTTAGGATTATTAAATTATGATCGTCCATAAATCAAAAATCGAGGAATAACCTTAAAATCTTTATATAAGAAGACATCTGCCACAGGGCAAAAATATTTTAATAAAGAAGATATAAAAGTTATACAAAAACTAAAAAAAGCAGAGAATAATTCAACAAATATAGAAGAAAAGATAGTTAAAGTATTTTAGCTCAAGAAATGATAAAATTAAAAGAAATTTGGTTTTGGTTTTACGAAAAATATGTAGAAGGTAAAAAATTTGAGTTTTAATGGCTATAGCATTACCTGAAGATGTTATAAGACAAAACATAATAATTTCACCTATGGAAACAAATAAAATTAAAAATTAATGGAAATAATAGGTAGAGGAGAAATTCTACAAATACTTAGAGATGATTTAGACAATGAAATAAAAAATATATTTAAAGAATTAAAAGAAAAAATTGATAAAAATCCGCATAAAAATTATAGAGATACAATAATAGAATTAGAAAAGATTTTAATGAAAGAAGTAGATGAGTTACTTGAGTCTTTTAACCGGTAGATCTCTTTAAATGGAAACCCACATCGCCCAAAAATTCTAGGATTCAATACCTTTCTAATGCTTTCAGTAGTGATGGTTGCTCTTTGACTTACATTGATGTTAATCTCTATAATGAGAATTTTGTAATTAATAATTCTTGGCTCATTTGTATTCGTAGTTTTGAATAGATTAAAGATATCAATGATCATATGAAGGTTGGTAAAGCTGCGGGTCATGATGGTTTCACGGCTGATTTCTATAAAAATTGTTGAAAAGTGGATCTCTATTGTCAGCAGAAATAATTTAGCCGTCAGTAAAGAAACCAAAGAATTATTTGTCAAAAATTACAGGAGGAGAAAATTCACAAATGTACCTATTGTCAAAAAAAGGAGAAACTATATAAGAAATATGAGAAAAGCTTGAAACAAAGAGTAATGAGAGCCAGATGTAACAAGATAAGCATAAAGACGTACCAACAAACTATTCTCTAACAAAGCACCATCTAATGAAGGAGAATATTCCAAGAATCGTTCCCGTAAAAGCAGACTAACCCTTATCAACAAAAGATATTCCTAAAATTATTTCGCTGAAAGTAGATGGCCACTAACTCAGTCAGACTGCAAAGTAGCATCAATTATTTCATGTAACGTCAGCTATGATGATTTATGTACTCTTTTCTTTTCTATTTAAGGCCTTCTCTCTTCTACTGAGGAGGTAGAGCGAATTAGGATTTCTTCTTCTTCTCCTTCTCTTGTAAGATTAAGATGTGTGTTTGTCTTTGTGACTAATTATCTTCTTCATGCTCGATGTCTGTAAGTTTGTCTTTTAAGTATTAATGAATGATATGTTTTAGTTGTTTGTTTGAAGTTATGTTTTTTTTCTATTATGATTTTTTATTTTTTTCTAGCTACGGATAATGTAGGAAACAAACTAATGTTGTGCTTTAAATCTCTGAAGTACTTGCACAAGGTTGTGGTCTACAAAGACATGTATGGTCTTGTTGAGCCTTTACTTTCTCTAGAAAACCACAAAGAATGATGCAAGATGAACTGGAGATTTTAAGGTTAAATCCTAGAATAGATAGAGATCATAATATGATTACATTATTTTGAACTTTCATGTAGAAGCATAATTGACCCTAATACTTTAAGATAATCTTTCAAATAAAATAGTAGGAAGAAATTCTTAAATATGGAAAAAGAGTTTGAAGAATTTGATATAAGATTACGACAATTAAAGAAAAATTATATGAATCATATTAGAGAGATAGAAGAAGTATAGTATAGATTAAAAAATAATATAAATTTAGAAAATACTCTTCATAAAAAATCATTAAAAATAGGAGAAACTTCAAGTGCATCTAAAGCTTATAAAATGGTATCAAAGCCATATGATCATCTAGCAAATACATATAAATGTCTAAAACATGAAAATTTTTTATGCACACCTACATTGTCTTACGAATCTTCTATTAGCTCTTACAAACAACAAATAAAACATGACAAAGAATTAAAAAAATGTTTACTTATAGAAGAGCTTAAAGCAAGTGTAGAAGATCTTGATGTTGAATAAAAATTACCTTTACCAAGAATTCAATAGAATTTGTGAACTACTCCAAATTAATATAAAAATAAGCACTTAGAAGTATTCCAAAAAGAACTAATTTTCATATAAAATCTCCTTTAGAAAGTTCAAATGAATGGATCATAATAAATTATATGATTTTAAAACAAGTTGAACTAGATCTTTATTCAAAAAGTATATCTAATGAACAAGTTAATCTATGGAATTAAATTTAAATCAGTTAGAAAATATTAAACTTTTTAAAAATATAATCTAGTTTAGATATAAAAAATTGCCAAATAAAGAGAGTACTTCAAACATATATGAATTAGGAGTAAGATTAATCCAAAATCAATAAATACTGAATAGCAATATAGCCATAGCCGCTATTTTAGCAAAATGTTGTAATTTAGAGAAGTTTAATACTAATTCAAAAATCCTAAGATGGACAAATATAAATAAATATAACTCTTCATAAAATATACAAGGAGCTATACGTATAAATAAAGTCATTTCATTTGACGATCATTCTTTCAGAAAATGAGACAAAAGATTTAATTAATGTCTTAAATGAGCAATTTATGGCTACACCTACACCTACTAATTATCCATTTGTTGACTCTCCTTCATCCAACCAACATATGAGATTACTCTTTTCTTCAAATACCAACGAAGCTAGTCCAAGTCAACACACAAGTTCTTATCTCTGTTATTTTCCTGCTAGTGTTAGATGTAATCCAACATTCAGAAATATAATAGAATCTAGAATTGAAGGCAACAAATCTAAGCCTATAAGCGGACATGGTATTTATTTAAATATAGACTGTAGTAAAAATATGAACGAAAAAATTGATAAATGAGTAATAGAAAATAGCGTAGCCATATATAATTATAATATAAAGGGAGAAGACGTCCTTGGATTTTTAGAAAATACACTTACGGGAATTGTAAAAAAATGGTTTTTAGGACTAAATAATAATAAAAAATAAGTAATAAGAAATACTTGTTTATCAGAAAGAAGTATAAGAAAACCTAGAAAATGGCCAATTATATAAGGAGATTTCATAAAACGTGAATTTTGAGGATACAAAATTAGATACCATACAGAAATAGAAAAACAAAAACATCAGTCAAATATAGCAAAACAGATAATAATAGCATTAAATATATGCAGTATCTATTATTTAAATGAATATAGTTGTGAGTATAAAAAATTTTCCTATGATATTCTAGCTGAAGACCGCTCGTTATATTTAGATATATATTTTTATAAATTACCCGAATCATATAATATTATATGGAGCCAAGAATTCAAAAAAAAATACATCTAGAAGACATCACTCTAGGAAGTCGAATACACTACGCTTTAGAAAAAACTAGTTGAAGCATGTCTGCATATAGAATTACATAAACAAAATAAACAATATAAACAATCATTGTATTGTGAGAAATATGACTTCCCCCAACAGTGGGGTTGATCTTCTTCTTCTCATAGCAAATGCAATTGTCCTGCAAAAAATAAAAAGAAAAAGTTCTTTAGAAAATACAAAAAAGACATTTCAATCCAAATAAAAGAATATTTAGAAAAAGAATAATAATGCAGATAATAGGAAAATAAGATGTTAAATTTGCAAACAAGAAGGACATTACACAATAAATGTCCCAAAAAAAAGTAAAATAAGTCGTAAAATTTGTAGCTATCATAAAAAAAAATAACCTAGAACCTATTTTAATATTGTTGAAATTGAAAGAGAAGAAGAGATATATCAATTATCAAAAACTGAAGACATTCTAAAAAATAGAAACCATTCTGATAATGAAATAGAAGAATATTTATATTCAGATTAATGGAAGAAAGCTCTGAAACTGATATAATGAACAACAATTATATTCAATATGAAAGACATATTACTCTATCTGAATATGCCTATAGCAAAATCAGAAAAAGAAAATTATCATTAGGAACAAAAGACTGTTTCGACATTCCAATATTTTTATGGAAAAGATCTATACACTATAGTATTAGATAAGGAGAACATCCCATAGATATAATAAACATAGAAGGAAAATCTATACACTATAGTATTAGACAAGGAGAACATCCCATAGATATAATAAATATAGAGGGAAAAATTAAAATATCTCTATACAATCAACAAATCAAAAGACAAGATTTAGAAAGAATCAAAAAATCATGAGAAATATAAACATATATTTTTTGGTGGAATTCAAATTCTAATCAAACCTTATTTCCGAAAAGTTACAGATAGCCCAATCACTATCTAGATATATGATGATAGAAACTATACACTCTAAAAAAGATGCTTTGTTAGGAGTTATACAAGGAAATTTATGTTATTAAACCTTAATGTTTAATTTAGACCCTAATTATGTTGTCAATATAAATAATAGACACCTTCATAGATCTCTAACATTAAAACATAAATTAGATATAGTATTAAGAGAAGGAAATGATGTTTATAGCATCACATATCAAACTACATATGCCTATAGTAATCAACACAATACAGTGGCATTTAAACCACAGATCGATCCAATCCATCCAAACCAACTCTTTTCACATATAGGACAAACTATACAACCCGAAAAAATTAAAAGCCTGTGGCTTATCATTTTCTTCCTGCTCGATATCTGTAAGTTCATCTTTTAAGTATTAATGAATATTATGTTCTGGTTGTTTGTTTGAAATTATGTTTTGTTCTATTATGATTTTTTATTTATTCTAGCTACACATAGTGTAGGAAACAAACTAATTCTATGCTTTAAATCTTTAAAGTACTTGCATAATGTTGTGGTCTGCATAGACCTGCATGGTCTTGTTGAGCCTTTACTTTCTCTAGAACACCACAGAGAAGGATGCAAGATGAACCAGAGATTTTAAGGTCACACCCTAGAATAGGTAGAAATCATAATATGATTACATTATTTTAAACTTTCTTGTGGAAGCATAAATGACCCTGATACTTTAAGATAATCTTTCAGACAAAAAAGTAGAAAAGAATTATTAAATATGGAAAAAAAAGTTTTAAGAATTTGATGAATCATATTAGAGACAGAAGAGGAACAATATAGATTTAAAAATAATCTAAATTTAGAAGACGTTTCCTCCCATTACGAGGAGCTTCTTCCCGACTTTCATTGGATGTCCGCAATTTTCGCAGTGGTGAGATTCCCGAACCCTTCTCTTTTCGTTTATAGCTAGCCCTAAGGTTTAGTGTCGCTAGGCATGCAGGTTCGATCGCCCACACGAAGTGCGTTTGCCGGCGCGACCACGTTCCTATGTGATGGGTTGTTTGCTTTCATAGTACAAGCTTTTAGGTTAGAATTTTTCGTGCGTGACCAAACACCCTTCGTAGAGCTGAGCGAACCCCCTTTGGCTGCAAACCTCAACATATGTCCTATGGGTTGGAGTTTCAATCTCCCCCTGCTTTGGTTTTTCAATTTCTTTAAATTTGGGATGAAAAATTTTGCAAAATAAGAAAAGCTTCGTAGCTAGCTCACTTTGCAAAACTTGGAGGAGTTGTGAAACGGGAGAAGCTTTGTAGTTAGCCCATTTCACAACCTCGTGGAGAGCTTCCACCTTAGAATCACCGGGGAGAACTTCCGCCACATGCCTCGTCAAAGCAGGAGGCGGCTATGCCGCACATCCAAGTGCCTAAAACTTTAGGTACCTAAATGAGGATGTTAACACGAGTCTGATTGTTATCGAGCATAGTTGTTTGCCTTAGATTGCATCAAATATCTTGCATCAAGCATGTTGCATTCCACTTTGTCCCAAAAGGTCGCCCCGGCCGGGTCGACATTTCATTTTACCACGCCTGCCGCCCAAGCCTGGTCAACACTTCACTTTGCCACGACCGGCCGCCCCTGCCAGGTTAACACTTCACTTTACCACGACCGGCCACCCAGACTCGGTCAACACTTCACTTTGTCGCGATCGTCGGCCTCAGCCTGGTCGACACTTCACTTTAGTTCGACCGGCGGCCTCGATCAGGTTAACCAAACAATTTGTTTCGACCGGCAGTGTTGGCCCGGTCAACCGATAACTTTGACTCGACCAGCCACCACAGTCCAACCAACCGATCACTTGCATGGTTGTATGTTTTTACATTATTTTGCATGTTTGTTTGCATGTGTCTATTTGTTTGCTTGCACGATGCATCACATCTTGCATGTGTTTGCTTGCATTTGCATGATCACTATTTTTTGTTTATGTTGCACCTCTTCGGGTCGTTGCCTCCATCACATACACAGTTGTAGTGCAACGTCCTCCAAGACATACCCATCTTCAAGTCAGTGCCTCCAGGGCACACACACATTCGTCAGGCCCTGCCTCCTCGGCACGCTCGTCTTTTTAGTCACTATCGCCACGACATGCCCATTCATCGGGCTCCTGCCTCCTCGGCACGTCTGTCTTTCTAGTCATTGTCGCCACGACACGCCCATTCATGCACGTCTGTCTTTCTAGTCACTTGTCTCCACGACACGCCCATTCATTGGGCTCCTACCTCCTCGGCACGCCCATCCTTCGGTCACTGTCTCCACGACACACCTGTCCTTCTGGTCACTGTCTCCAAGGCATGCCAACTTGTCGGGCCCCCCGCCTGCTCGGCGGACGCATCTTTTCGAGTCCCTGCGTCCGCGACAGACCTATCTGTTGAGTCATCATCTCCACGACATACTCACCATTTCTTTTGCATTACTATATGCATTTGCATGTTTGCATGGATAGCGAGTCAAGCTCGATAGAAAATTGAATCCCATATCGGTCATGATGTCTTAACGATCATTGTTTGCTGGGTTGAGCTCGACAAATAATGCAAGTTAAGTTATCGAGATTGATACGAGTATGATTATGCTAAGGATCCAAGGATCTAACTCGTGTCACATTGTATGTTACGAACCCGCATTTAATGACCCTTATTTTGAAAACTAAAAAAAATATAATTTTCTGCATATTACTACATTCACCATGATTTTAAAATTATGCATGTAGCAAACTAGGTCGTATATAAGGCCAACTCCTCTTTCAACATCCACCTTGAGTAACATCCTTTGGATCCCTTGGATCTTTAAAGCGGGGTCGGCCAGGCGACCTCGTCAAAGTCATCCTATACCCGGAGATTGGCCCTTCACTTAGATGTTGGTTAAAACATTTTCGCATTAGATGGTGTGTTAGACTAGAATTAATGATGCTAGGTAGTCCTTTTTGACACCTCTGGTTATTATTTTGTGACATTTTTTTGCGCTAGCCACGCGTCATCTTTTTTTACGGTATTTTTGTGTGTTTGCACCCTGCAAATACATAGTAGTGTGTTAGGGCGTTCTTCTGTAGGGAGTCGTGTCTACTTATATGCGCACACACACAGGTACACTATGAGGGAGCATGTAATTATTTTTGACATTGTTGCTTGCAGGTGTTATTTATCTCCCTCACTTATAAGGAACGACTCATTATATGTGTTGCATAGCTTTCCTCACTGACACTTGTTTTCATGCAGGTAACGTCTTTTTTTTCTTTACTTTTCCTATGTACTTTTTAGAGACTTAGGAGAGTCCAGTAGCAGAAATAAGATACGTGCACGGGTTCCAAGACATTTGGAGCGGGAACCACATGAAGGGGCCTAGAAGCAGGTGTTCGTGCCCCGTATCTTAATTCTGCATTTGATATTGACGTATAGAATTAGGACCAGACATGTATATGCGGAGTCCGATCGCTCTTTTTTTCTTTTGGGACATGTTATCGACCCAATGACATCAGTCTGGTTATTATTTTGTTTGGCATGTCTGCATGTTTGAATTGTTTTTTATTGTTTATTTCTATGCATTTGGAATTCGGGTCTGTGGTACTTTGGCTCGGCTACCTTTACCTCTTAGGGTTTACTCCTCCCGTTCCTTTGACTACCCTTGTTGAGTCCTTTCGCTCTTATTGACTTTGTTGGTATCATCTTGACGACCCGATGCCGATGACTTGCAGCCAGTTTGGGATACGATAATTTATCCTCTGCCCTTATGGCTCGAACGTGCTTTGATGTATTAGGGTACCCCCGTCGAGGTGATTATTAGTTCTTCCATGGGTATCATATACCAATAACTCGCTACCTACTTGGGATGTGAGAGAGTCACTTTTTGCCCAATGGCTTAACCAGAGCTTTGTAGCATATGGGCATTACCGCAGGAATAACCTCTCTTTAATAACTTATTTTCCCAGGTCTGCGATAATACTAGCGAAACACATTTTATCGAGAGTACTTTTGGGTATTTCCCAAAATGTAATTAACCAAGTGGGACACATCTCCTATGGAGTACCTTGACCCCAGAACAAGCATCTACCTGAATCTCTGGTTATGGGTAGCCTACGTAGGTATTCTTTCGCGAAAATTGGTCCAAGATGCCCCATCCGACCTTATTTGGGCGGATAGACATAACCTATTCTTTCAAGGTTTATCGCACATAGACTCTCCACGTTTTTGTTTTTATTCTTGTCTGTCATATTTGTCGCATATCCATCTTTTTCGGTTCATTTTTTCTCCGAGTCATTCATATGAACCGAAAGAGAGATTTATTCGGAGAAGAGAAGTATACGACAAACGATAGGCTGACGACTCCTTCAAAAATAAAAGAGATAAAAAACATAACGGAAGCAACTACTTTTCCTATGTATGAAAAGAAGTATTTTACTGTTTGAAATCAAAATGGTGGTACTTTTTATATGATATAAATCTAAAAAGCAAAATTTTAGTGCTAGATATGTAAATACACAAAAATTTGGTGGTATGCATGTAAATGCCATAAACAAATAATGATGGACGGACGGATACTCACTTGTAAGGAAGTTTAAAGCACTTCACTGGAGGAACATTGTTCTCTTGATCCATTACATTGGCAAAATCTGCAGACTCTTCAAGGCATGTCAAGAATAGCGTCATTGCTTTATCGTAGCGAGTTGTCACGGACAAATAGTCCCACATTGGCTAGGTGTAGGGCCGAAAAGCAGTATTTAAGTCCTGGGCTGCCCCCCTCTCTTAAGGGCTCTTTTGGGATGTGACAAGTGGTATCAAAGCAGACTACTGTCTGCCAGGTGTGTGGACTCTCCATGGTCCAGTGGGACCCTCGGTGGAGCCGATCCGTGACGAGGGCGTCACGTGATTGGGTGGAGGAGAATGTCACGGACAAATAGTCCCACATTGGCTAGGTGTAGGGCCGAAAAGCAGTATTTAAGTCCTGGCTGCCCACCACCCATAAGGGCTCTTTTGGGAGGTGACAGAGTGCTCCAGAACAAATTTATAGGACCAAACCTGGCAAGAAAATAGATGAATTCTCTTCAGATTAAGAAAGGAAACAAACAAATGCCATGTTGTTTTTACTTCCTTCATTAAAAGTTAAGGGGCATTTGCATACATACCACACCATCCTTATGTATTTACATCTAAACAATCATGTTTACATGCATATCATTCAACTCTTTAACATCACATCAAAAATATCACAATTACTATATGTTTAAAAGTGTAATACATCTATTCATGCATAGGTTTATGACACCAAGATGTTATAAGTGTAAATATCAAACTTTGGATGTATGTAACTCTTGAGAAAAACACTTTTACAGATTATATATAAGGAAGAAATCTATTCATGCATAGATTTATAACACCAAGGTGTTATAAGTGTAAATATCAAACTTTGGATGTATGCAACTCTTGAGAAAAACACTTTTACAGATGATGGAAGAAAATGCTGACAAGAAAGATGAAATCAAATTGAATGGATAGACATAAGAATTCCTTGAGAAAAACACTTTTACAGATTATATATAAGAGTTACATACATATCACTGAATTGCAATGTATTTACATATCTAACACTTAAACTTCAATTTTTACCAACATGCCGCCTTACCTAGCTTGAGGTGCATTTCACTTTTATAAAGTTAAAATAGTGGTATTGTGTGATATGAAAGATTTGGGCGGTATAAACGTAAAATGTAAAGTTCATGTGTTAAATATGTAAATACATAGGAATTGAGTGTTATGTATGCAATTGCCCGTATATATAAATGAAATGCTATAAGGAAAATACATTAAGCTCAAGCCAAAAGAGCATGACCAAAAGAAGTTAAATGGCAAGGTTAAAAAGAAAAGGTACAGAAAGCATTAGGCAACAAATGGCATATAAAACAAGTAAACCAAGAGTTTTGCATATTTTTAGGCTGAAATACCAGTGTCTTGGGGAGACAACCAAGTCAAAAATTGTTGATTGTGCCGAATTCCCCATCATGCCATATAGGGAAGGCATTAGTTGACACATTGGTCCGCTTCAGCAACTCCTGGTGTGCTTGAAACACTTCTATTTTAGCCAAAATTGCATCTCTCGGAGACATGAAAATGAAAAACCTGAATGCGAAAGAGATACCACATAGCAATATGAAAATTAGGATTAGAATCACTCAAAATAGCTCTATTTAAAGATGGAAACCCAAACTTTTTGAGGAAATTAATAGAAACTTATAACCTTCACCAACGTAGTTCAACTTGCAGGTAAGACTAAAAGCAGATTAATACATTAGTTTTGTACAAAAGTAATATCAGACTACAGAAAGAAATACTTTTAATTCAGCAAAAATGATAAATAAAAAGAGTTTATTGAATTCGGCTGCATGAAATTGCATCCACTAGAGAAGTTAGGATAAAACTATCAATAAAAGAAAATTACAGAAATGAAAAAAGGCCCTCATAACAAATTACAAAGTATGACAACCGAATTGCAGCTCTACCAAAGAAGTACATGGCATATTATTAAATAATAATATCACGTTGGAATTTACCTGATGTGACGCCAACTGGAACTGAAAGTTATTATACTCATGCCAATACCTAATAGAGGAAAGTGGAATCAGCATGGCGAGATGAATTCTTTGTACAGCAGTAGATTATACAGAATTTATTTTGGAGAATCCCAAACAAGAATGATACCACAAAAGTGAAATGGCATGGACTGCAATCTAACATATCAATATGAGTTATTTATCATTTAATTCATAAATTACCAGTTCATTGATTCAATAATGGCAAAACAGAAAAAATTAACTGAACTATTAACAAGATTAGTCCTCCATTCATAAATTACCCTTCCTCTAGTTCCCTAAAGAGCTTTGATTTTGATTCTAACTCTTTCTTCTGAGATTTAACTTCAGCAAACTGCCTTTCAGTATCTTGAACTGCAGCTTGCAGCCGTCTCTCTTCTTCCTCAATCTTACAAAAAATTAAGAAAAAAAGAAGTTACCAAACTATATTTCATATACATGAAAAAAATTCAGAAAAAAAAACAAATTATTATATTTTATGATATCATCTAACAAAATTTTTATTTGGGGCAGCTGCAATTGTTTGAAGTTTTCGTGAGGCTGTTGCAGAAGAAGCTGTTGGTCAAAAAAGTACGATAGCTATTACATTTTTTTTTTTTTTAATGAAAAAATCAGTCTGCAACTTTCTAGTAGCCACCGCACTTAGCTACATTAGGTGGACAAAAAGCATCTTTCAACTGCATTTTTTTGAAAAGGAAGGCAAAATGTAGTTTTGCTAAACAGAAAAAATTGTGGTCTGGCGTCGCACCGCCACCCAAAGTCTTGCTTGGATTATAGGATGTTGCATTTACCAAAAAAAATAAGTGGGTTTTTGGTGCCAAAATTTTAAAATAGAAGGATAAAATGTTTAATTATTACATAGTGGTGAAGTATGTCCATGGAAAAAACTTTCTGTCTCTCGCGAAGCAAAAATATTACTAAACGAGCTTCTAAGATGTAAGTATGAGGCATAAGTTTAAGCCTTAGCAAAAATTCTACATTGGCGTGTGCCCACAAGCCTCCCCTCTTGGATGAATAAATGTTGTAGTACTTAGAAAGAACAATTTATAAGGCACTATACCTACATCAAGTGATATCGCAGTTAACTCAAACAACAATAGGCAAACAAATACTTAACTAATAAAGTCAATAGGTGATTATAACTGACACACTTGAAAGGAAATTAACAACAGACTCAACAATCCAACTCAAATTAGGGTGAATCTCAGGGTGGTGGTGGTGATCAGTGAGGGGTGGAAGATGGCAGTATGGTGGACTAGGTAAGTGGCAAGCACAAAACAACAAGGAAACAATTAACGAGGTTTCAGACACTAAGTACGCAGCAAATATCGACATTGCACGGCTGTTCGGGATGATGGCAGCAAAGAGGGAGGGATAGAACAGATGTGGTAGTGAATATGGATGATGCGGGTGCAATGGATAGCTGCAACTTCCCGCAGCGTAACAGGGAGTCGCTCCTGCTCCCGCAATTTTTCCCGTTCGGGTGCAAAGGAAAGTCACGGTTTCTCACGGTGTAAAAAGGAGCAGTTCGTACTCTAGCGATTTCATTTGTCTAGACAAAACCGGTCCAAACCCAAGAGGGTCGACCGACTCTTCCACGTGAGTTTGACAACTCCTTTCCATAACAGAATCCAATCCTAGTCATCTTGGGCTTATTTATGTAATTCTTTAGCTTCAGGTTTTGAGTTTTTCATGAGTTGTTTATGGCAGTCGTCGGAGTTCATTCTTCTCTCTTCGAGGGCTATATCTGAGGGATTGGGTGGTGCTCCAGTTGTATCTCTTTCCGAAGGTGGTGATTGTCTTTCTTTATCCCTTTCTGCATCCATCCACATCACTCCCGACCACTCTGTTCCTGCTACAGCCGCCGGAACAGTTATCCTGCCATTTCTTCCTACAGTTTTCTAGCTTTCAGACATAGTAGCTTGTTGTTGCACCCTCCCACAATCCCCTGCTTGTTGTTCAGCAATCCCAATCTAATACCGGCTTTCTACCACCCCTTCCACCGCCTCCCGCTTTCTTCCCAACGCCCTATGTTCGTTGTTGAACCTTCCCACCGCCCCACTATCAACTGTTGCACCTTGTCGCAGCCCCCCTGCTTACTGTCCAGCCGCCACACCACTTCTCTGGCTTGTTGTCGCACGCTCTAGCGACATTTTGTTTGTTGTTCAGCCGCCAACCCACCTTCCCCTCGCTACCGCAAGCCCTCCCTCCCACCTACAAATCTCTGTTTCCACTACCTCGAGACACAACCCACCGATCCTCATCCTATAAAATCATTTGTTTATCATTGATTTCCTATGTTTAAGTGTTTTGTTGGTAACCCCTTGGAATTTCAACAATAAAATTATAATTCAGTTGCGGTCTTTGGGTTTAACTCCATTAACATTTGGTATCAGAGTTAGCATAACCTTAATTTTATCCTAGAGTTTCTACCATCCACTAATACCCAACCATATACCCACCTGAATTTTTTCTTTCTCATCCTACATCACCCTTACTAACCTCCTTCCATATACCTACACCAAAAACCTAGCCATGCTGCCAAAAAAAAAATTATCGAAAGCTAGATTGAGGGAAAAAAACACAATATCATTTATGAGAAATTTACAAAGAGTCCAAGGAATTTCTAAGGAGAATATGTAGAAGGAAACTCCCGCCAACTACAAGAGAGACTTGCCACCTTCGAGAGAAGATAATCTGGATGAGTCACCCTTAGCTGCAACAATGACTTGCTAGATCGAAGGAATGGAGTGAATCGCGCCCACCATACAAAATCCAAGGACGAAGAACCTCTACCTCGAAGAGGTGACCTAAAATATCTGAGAAGCCAGAATTTTCAAGTAAAAGTAGATTTGTCATATTTCGATTGGTCACATGGATCTAGACGAGTTCATCGAGTGACTCTGGACCTTCAAATGTGTCTTTGAGTGTTAAGACATCCCACCGAACAGAATGGTAAAACTAGTACAACAAGTTAAAAAAGAGTGCATTATTTTAGTAGCAAAATTTTAAGTACATACGTCAGAGTGAGAAAAGAAACAAGATCACTATTTGGTCCAAGTTGAAACGGAAGTTGCAGTGCTAGTTTCTACCAGCTCATTACAGACTGGATATTTAGAACCTAGCTTAAAAAGTGGAGAGACCACATCACCGAGAGGCCGACACATTTTACAAGTGGGGTTCAACTTTAGATCTTACAGCCAGAGTACACCAGGGTAACAATCAAGTTGATCTCGTATAAGGAGAAACTAGTACCAAATGAAAAAGAGATGGAACTAGCTAGCATTCCAAAATATGTCCCCGCCAAAAAGTGTTTCAAGTTCCACAGATTTAGGCATACTGAATCAGAATGTAAAATCAAGAGAATGACCTGTTTCACTAGGCAGGGCAATGTTGAAAAAATGGGTAATGACACAATAGACACTAAAGAATGTGAGGATACAAAGGAGTACTAGCCTCCAATTCATGAGGAAAAGATGCACATAGTTCCAATTCAGCCAATAAGAAAGACTCCAACTGAAATAATTCTGATTGTACAAGATAGTCTTGAGTTCGAGGAACCAACATCAGAGGCATGGCAACCCCATAAAAGAGAATTTCAGACTTTTCAAATTTATAGACTCTTTCGTGAGTTGCCCCTACTGACATAAGTTAAACATGTCAGAAATAAAACTCATTTGTACCCCATTTGGAAGATTATATAGATTTATTCGGATATTAGAACCGTTCAAAAGGGTGTCCACTATCAAATGTCCCAATAAGAGAGGTCAATCACAACTTTGAAAACAATCTTAGGAGTTTGATAGGAAAAATTTATTTTCAATGGGATCCAGGTCCTGTCAAAAAAGAATGTCTCTCCTTAGTGGTTGGTAGAGAAAGTGGCGCAGCTTGCCACAGATTTCATCTTAGAGTTAATATCTCCTCACATATTTATTTGTTACATTCTATTGAGCACAAAAAGTGGAAGGAGGTTTCAAACTTATTTGCTCGAGAATTTCATTAAGTGAACCTAAATCTACATGCAGCTCCAGCTTAAAATGTTGCCATAAATGGATGCATATTTATTTTATCAAAATATGTTGTGAAATGTTAGTGCCTACAGGACTGAATTTTCAGGAGATTATGTCATTTTTTATACCTTCAACGAGGCCGACCTGACTACTATGAGGAGACAGAAGCTTCGACAGATGAGGTTAAAGCTCCCCCAACATCAGGATACTAACGCAGGTGCGAAGGATAGTGGCGCCTTCCCGTGACATAAAAGGAAGCTGCTCCCTCTCCCGCGATTTCAATTGTTCGGGTGAGAAGGATTGTTGTGGTTTCTCGCGGCGTAACAAGGATTCACTCCAACTCTCGCGATTTCACTCGTCTGGACTGAATCGGTCTAGACTTGAGAGGAAGGTTTCGTGCCACCTTTCCATAGGAGGATCCAATCCTAGTTATCTAGGGCTTATTTATATGATTCCTTTGTTTTAGGTTTTCAAATTTTCGTGTGTTTTGTTTAGGACAGTCGTCGGAATTCATTCTTCTCTCTTCTAGGGCTGTATCCGAGGAATTGAGTGGTGCTCTGGTTGTATCACTCTCCGGAGGTGGTGATTATCATCCCCTATTCCCTTTCTACATCCTCCCACATCGCTACCTGCCATTTTGACCCTGCTGCAGCAGCCCGAAACAATTGTTCTACTATTTCTTCCTATAGTTTTCTACCTTCAAGCATTGTTTCTTGTTGTCGCACCCTCCCGCAATCCCCTACTTGTTGACAAGTCGTTGCTTGTTGTCGCACCCTCCACTTCCTCCAACTTGCTGCTTAGCACCCTTTGTTTGTTGTCACACCTTCCCACAACCCCGCTGTAAACTGCCACAACTTGTCATAGCCCCCTACTTACCATCCAATCGTCACACCACTTCACCTACATGATATCACAGCTCTAGCAACCTTTTGTACGATGTCCAAACTCTAACCCACCTTCCCCTCGCTAGTACAAACCCTTCCTATCACCTACAGATCTCTGTTTTCGCTAGCTCAACATGCACCTCAGCACCGTTGATTCTCACCTTAGAGAGTCTTTTGTGCTTGTGTCATTATTTTCCAATTTTTAAGGGTCTTATTTGTAACCCCTTTGAATTTAATTAATAAAATTATCATTCTATGTATTTTTTGAGTTAACTCCAATATCAATGGAGGATTGGATTAGCAATGGCAGAGAGGGTATAGTGCATTGGATCAAGAATGGCAGCATGTGGGAGTGGTTGGGATAGCGGCTAGGTGGCGGTGAGTGGATCAGAATCGCTAGAACAGCAGCCAAGGCTACAAAAAAGTGTTTCTTGTTGTTATTTAAGCAACGAGGTGGAAAGGGAACTGGCTATGAGTGGTTGAAACAGCAGCCAAGGGGTGGGGAAGGCAGCTGTAAAGCAGAAACTACATAAAACAACCAAAAGAAGCTGTTCTAGGCAGCTCTCACGGGGCAGGAGCAGTCAGGAGCAATGTGGTAGGATGCGGAAAGAGATAGAGGAGGATAATCCCCACCTCAAGAGAGAGATACAACCGGGGCATCACCCATTCCTCGAATAAAGCCCTCGAAGGGAAAACAGGCATCGACGACTGTACTAAACAAACTCATGCCAAAAATTGATCTAAAACACAACAAATAACATATGATTTTAGGGTAAAGAGTAGTGGGTCCCACTACAAACACGAGGGAACCGTGCGTAAGGACAAACAACTCGATCCTTCTCCTACCTAGACCGAGCCAATTGACATGTAGCATTTGTCGTGCCCACACGGGCATAGCGCCCTCTAGCCTTCGACTTCATGCATCAAGGTGCATTTGTAGGAATGTTTCCTTCTCATATGTCGAAGTTTCTGTCTCCTCATAGTATAGCGTCATATTGGCTCAGCTGCAGATAGCGGAAATGGCATAATCTCCAGGTATGTCAATCTTATAGGCACTATCATTCCAAAACACATCCTGATCAAAAAAATATTCATTCCATTTTGGCACACACAATCATTCCAAAGAACAACCTGATAAAATAAGTATTCATCCCATTTTGACACAATTTGAACTGGGGCTACAATCTCATACTCTGCATAAATGTCCATTAACTCGAACTCACCACCTTCTAGAACAATTATTGTTAAGTCACCTAGAATCTTTCTCCTAGGATCAACTGAAATCAATGGTGTCTCTTCCTCGTTGGCTGGCAATTAGTACTTCTCTTTCGTTTACATGTCTACTGCTCCCTCAGTGAAACACATCATCCCTCTGGTTGTGCAATTTGCAATAAGCCCAATTCTGTTCCACTTAAAAGTACTTCTAGGACTAATTTAGAAATAATAGTTCGCTCTACCTATTCTCTACCCTGAATCAGTTTCAACTCAAGCGGGACTGACTTGAATGTTCCCTTGGATTAATTCTGACTGAAAAATCATGGGGTTGAACCCTGCCTGTAAAATGTGGTGGACGTCCGATGATGTTTTCTCTCCGCTTTTGAAACTAAGTTCAAAAAATCTGGTTTGTAGTGAGCTTGTCGGATCTAGCGCTACATATCCCATTTCATATGGGACCAGGTAGTAATTTTACTCTTCCCTACTCACCGTCGAAGAACCTTCAAGTTCGCTCACCACTAAGATGCACTCTTTCTTAACTTATTGGCAGCTAGTTTCATAATTCCATCCGGCAGGACATCCTAGAGCTCAAAAACACATTCCAAGATCCAAAGTCACTCAATGACCTCGTTTTGATCCATGTGGCCATTGAAATATGACAAATTCACTTTTACTTCAAAATTTTGGCTTCTCGGATATTTCAGGTCAAGTCTTTAGGGTAGAAGTTCTTCATCACTTCATTCCCTCGAACTTGCAAGTCACCGTTGTGGTTACTGATGAACTATTTAGATTACCTCCTCTTCAAAGTGGTAGGCATCGGTTGTAGCTGGCATGTTTCTCACTACATATCCAGCCTAAAAATTCGTTGGACGTCTCTTCGTGAATTTCTCATAAACGGCATTGTTATTCCCCCTCGATCAGGCTTCCGACGATTATCTCCTTGGCGGCATGGCTAGGTTTTGGGTGTGGGTAGCTGTAAGGAGGTGTGCTAGTATGATAAATGGAGAGAAAGAAGATATTTGGGTGGTCAGTTTGGAAAATCAACAAATAAAAGAGTTTTGAGTGGAGATATGGTCGAATATTGATGGATGCTAGAAACCCAAAAATGAGACTACGCTTAGGCTAGCTCTGATACCAAATGATACCTGAATTAACCCAAACAACAATATACAAACAAATATTATTACTAATAAAGCCAATAGGTGATTACAACAGACACTTAAAAAGAAACTAACAACACACTCAAAGATCTAATTCAAGTTAGGGTGGATCTAGGGGTTGTTATGGTGATCGGTGAGGGGAAGAAAGTGGCGAGCTAGTGGACGGGGTGGCTGGCAAGCAAAAACCAACAAGAAAATAGTTTTTTGGGGACATTGCATGGTTGTACGGGCTGATGACAGCAAAGGGGGAGGGCTCGAACAGAAGCAGCAGCGAAGATGGAGGGTTGGGACAGCACTGGCAGCAAGTATGGAAACTAGAACAGCAATGGGTAGGTAGAGGTGAAGTGGTTCGGAATGGCTGGCACAGCAGCCAAGGCTGCAAAGGGGTGTTTCTTGTGGTCGGAACAGTAGCGAGGCGGCAAGGGGGTTGAAGATGAATGGCTGGAATAGCAACCGAGGGGCGAGGAAGGCAGTTGGAAAGCAGAAACTGCAAATAAAACAGCCAAAAGTGGTTGTTCCAGGAGGCTGCAACAAGGAAGGTGCGGCTAGAAGCAATGTGAGGGAATGCACAAGGGGATAGGGAAGAGAATCATCACCTCGTGAGAGAGATACAGCCGGAGCAGAACTAAAACCCTCGAAGGAAGAAACAGATGTCGGCCATTGTCCGAAATAAACTCACACCAACCTAACCATTAAATGCAACAAAGAACGTATATATAGACTTAGGATAACGAGTAGTGGGCCCCGCTCCAAATAGGAGGAAACCTTGCGCAAAAAATGACTACTCGATCCTTCTCCCACTTGAACCGAGTTGGAGGGCGTGCGACATTTGGCCCAACCCTACGCCCCTGAATTCCTCCATCAAGGCGTGTTCGCGGGAAAGTGTCCCCTACACGTCATCAAGTACATACCAATTCAAAAATTAACTATAAAATTCTAGACATAGATCCAAACTAGTTGCGCATAGGGAACTCAAATTGGATTTGGAAGTCAGGTTCAAGCCTGATCCAAAATTGACCCGATTCAAAATTGCTTAACCTGAACCTAAGATTAAATGGGGCAAAAAGTCCAACCCAAACCCGACCCACCTTCAAGCCGCTGATCTGAACTCGACCCGTACAACCCATCTAACATAAAGAATAAAAGCTATTAGGGGCAAGCATAATTCGATTTCGAGTCAATCTCGGGTTGGCGGACTGATTTTGAGTCAATTAACAATTAAGTTTAGACTTTGCAATAAAATCAAACATGACCCAAAAAATTAAATGGGTTAGGATTCATAACTTGAATCTAACCCAAAAATTATTCAGGGCAACCCGAACCTCGATTTTTCAAGTCGAGTTTGGGTTGAGTTGGCCCCTACTCACACATGTTATTCTGCTTAAACTCTCACTTGCTTATTTCTTAGATTGGCCATGCCTCCTAGAAAAATCTTAAATGTAACATTGGTATTCCAAATGATGAGCTCCTTTCTACTCAATTTTTATGAGAAAATGAACCCTTTCCATTTGAGAAAATTTTAGGAGGTTTGTTATTACTCTATAATTAAATTTAACGAAATGGTGGATTTAAAAAACTTTGCCATTTTCAAAACATGTTTTCAAACTTCGAGCAAAGGTGTCCTAAAAAAATAAAGGGGACGTCTAAACCATCCTCTTCAACTTAAAAATAATGAACACTGACAAATGGAATTAATTGACTTTAAGGATGTCTCCCCAAACTTCCTACCTGAAAAAATGTTTTTATGTGCTAACACGGATCGATTAGATAATATGAAAATCCATGTGCCATTGATTAATTTAAAAAAGGACAATTTTCATACGTACCACCCAATTCCTGTATAATTACATATCTAACACCTAAATTTTACATTTTACATTTATACCACCCAAATCTTTAATATCACATCAAAAATGCCACTATTTTATTTTTTAAGAAGTGAAATACACTTTTTCATGCATATGTAATGTGGCATGTGTAAAAATTGAAGTTTACGATTTAGATATGTAAATACATGCGAATTTAGCGATATATATGAAAATCTTCCTTTCAAAAAAATGTCTCAATCATTACTACCTGGAAAAATACTTGTGTAGGTGCGCATACACATCACTAAGCTGACCAGAGAAGGAAGTTATGAAATCCACACCTTTTCTTTATCCTTGGGAAAATCAGCATTGTTAAGAACATCATAAGATTCCAACTCAGAACGCTGGAGGCATGTTTCATATGCTTTAATGTCCATATTTACGTCTTCAACCTCTTTGTCGAGTTTATCTGATAAAATACGCAAGCATTCCAAACAGAGAGGCTGTTCAACCTAAGAAACTCGTAATACATGAAAGAGTCTGATTTAATCTCAAGAAATGGCAGCTCAAATCCCAAAAAGAAAATTAAAGGCATAAAGTATGCAGCTTCTAAAAAATATGTCCATTAATGACAGTAACTCAAAAGAGCAACGCCAACCCCAGCGCAAAAAATTCCAAAAAAGTTTTTTTTTTTTTTTTTTGTCCGTAATGAAGATGAAAACAATAACAAAATAGTACTTTAACTTCTTCACTTGAACACAATTTCATCTTTCAGCATAGAGAAGCAATATTCAATTAAAAAATGAGCTATCAAAGTAAAGCTTTGAACGGACGAGTAATGCTAGGATGAGTTGGATACATACCACTCAATTCCTGTGTATTGACAGATCTAATACCTAAAATTTAATCTTTAAATGCATACCACCTTATGAATGAAAAGGTGTATTTACTTTTTAAAAGATAGAATGATGGTATTTTTTATGTGATATGAACAATTTGGGTCGTACACTGTAAAAAGCAAAGTTTATGCATTAGATATGTAAATACATAGGACTTGGACGGTATGTATGTAAATGCCACAAAATGACTGAATGCAAAACAAATAGCTTGTATACCTGTGTTTGTGAAGTGGCAATATCAAATGCCTTCTTCAGCACAGTAATGCCCGAGTAGAATCTAGAATTATTCATCTGCAATGGAGTAGTGGCACTAACACTCAGAGTTGGTAAATGAGCTCCCACTCCCTCTAATGTAGAACCATTATAGTACATAGAAGCAGAAGCAGGAGGTAAAACAACAAAGGATTCTTCCATTCCCTTGGCAAAAGCGCTTCCCTCTAGCTGAGAAAGCCAGCTCTTTGGGCGAGGAGGGATTCCAAGACCCTGACCCTTTTGTTTAAAAAGAACCACAAACGAATGGTCCATTTGAGTGGAGCCCACCAAGCTTCCTTGGACTAAAGAAACTTGCATTACTATTCTCATTCCGATAACACAAAATTAACATGAATTCCACTTTTCAAACCGAGCGTATGCTATAAAATTTTAGTAAACTAAATATCTCATTAAAAAGAAATGTGTTAAAATAGTCCATTGTACTTTTATCACGGATCATTTTAGTTCCAAAGTCTATAAAAGTGTTAATTTAGTCCCAAAATCTATTAAAGGGAGCTCAGATAATCCTACCTCTATTTCAACTGATATTAAAAGATTTTGGGGACTAATTTGGCGATTGTATAGACTTTGGAACCATAATAAACACATGTAAATAGTCAGAAGACTATTTTGACATTTTACTCTTTTATTAAATGATGCAACAAAAAGCAGGTCCTCGAAGTTTATTTATTGGATTTGTTGGTTTATACTCAACGCCTTACTTTTAGTATTTAAGAATGAAGATGTTACATTTGTAGAAAATCAAACTTATAAGTCAACAACAAGGTTAGTAGGGAATAATGAAATATGTTGTAAAGAAATCATGTCGATATCACAAATCAAATTGATTGTTATCAGAGGAAAAAAAACAACAAGGGAAAGTTTTCCGCTGAGGTGATTAATGACAATGAATAAAGAGCAAAAGTATTTTTAAATAATTTAAATTAAGTAAACAACAAAAGTATTGAAAAATAATAAATAAAAAGAGATATGAGAGTTTTGATTCAATTTATGAGGCAACTATGCTACATTTCAAGGTACTTCGGGAAAGTGTGAGGCTTCTTTTGAAGTTAAAGCTTAAAATATTGGACATTTTTTTTTACTAAAATATAAAGATGGTTTTAGTAGAGCATATACCTTGTCATAATATTAGTATTATCAATTGCCATCAGTCAATGCTATAAAAAAAATAAAGAAACATATAAGCATCATGGATCTGTGGGATCCAAAAATTTCAATGCCCCGAATTCTCTATTTTGTTTATATTGTACGAGCATTGAGGGTCAAATTTTCATAAGACAAATTAGATTATAGATAAAACACTGTCCAAAAATTTTGTCCTCACTTTGGGAGGATTTTTTGATATGGGGCTCAAGATTTCATATAAGTGTAAGCTCATATGATTAATTACCTCTCACGATGACGGGAAAATACTTTCAATTAAGTCTTGTCATTTAACACTAAATAATCAACATATAATAGCGACAAACATACGTTTTAAATTGTAAAACTTATCACTTATAGCATAAAGCGGATGGTGGGGAAATGATGACGAACTGGATAAAAAATTCATGGTTTCATCATCCTGATTCGTCGTGGTCCCTGTTCTACTTAGAGGACAAAATCGGCCTAACCTAACTGAAAGATTCTTGTCAGTAATCATGAGTTGCATCATCCAAGAGACTCTTATAGATTTGAGGTGAATGCTCGTCTAAGAAGATATATTTAAGTCAATCTTAGCTAATAGAAGACTTTGTGTAAATTAAATGTACCCTTATAATTCACAACTCAAATAATTGAAAGTTGTTGAGGAAGAAATGAGTTGCAACCGTAACCGTAATATAAGACCACCCAATTAGATGGCTCAGATCGTAATCGATATTTTGTGGGTTCAAACCATGTGGCCAGAAGACTGAGGCTACGGCTTTATTAGCGTGAAATTACTTTGAGTGTGAATATAATGATACACTAGATGTGACATTAACTCTTTTGTGAGTTGAACTCAATCAAAAGTTTGTTACTCTCAACAAACCATTTTGGATGGTAGATGTAATTTATATTAAATTTTTTAAGCGATTAATTTTACTTGAATATTTAATTTGTTACTTTGAAATTTTGATTTTTTTTTAAATCATAATTTAAAAGTTAACCCCTCTAGTTGAGATTTTCAACCAACACTATAATTATCGAGGATTTGACATATAAAACTTTTATGCTTAAGATTCGTTTGAAATTTTGTTAGTTTAAGATCTTTAAAATATTAATCCTCTCAACTACAATCTTAACTAGGAGGATCATACTAGGTGATTTGGACTTATAAATTCATATTTTTATGATTTGGAAGTTTTTAAAATTATTAGAAACGTTAATTCCAGTATTTAAGAGGCGGATCGAACTAGCTAAATAGGACTTACAACATTGCCCCAAAGACAAAGCGGCTTAATTGATTGTTTTTCAAAATATAAACTATTTGGGTGCAAATTTTGTCATAACCCGCGCAACATTTCTAAACTATTTGATAAAGCATTTAAAATTCTAACGAGAGCCCATTCTGATTTTTTTTTTAATTTGATTTAAAATTGGCCCACACAACATTCTCAAACCTTATATTTAAAAATTTAGTTCATGGATCGCAGTTCATGAAGGCAGATGTCTTTGAATCGTGCACACATTTGAAGTGGGAAACTTATAATCAGCTAAATCTTTCTTAATCACATGAATATTCATTTGCTCATATGCATGCACATTATATTTGACATATTACTATGATGTAGTTATATGACATTTATGCACTTTTATAATGACATTTAGCCTATCCAAGGATTGTAATTGCACATTTTCTAAAAAAAATGCTTGCATCATTTAATGCCACGCGTTGAAATTGGGAATGTCTTAAAATATGAAAGCAAGCATGAAAATTATTGAAATTTTATTGATTATTCTTTTATCCCATTAAAATGCACGCATGTAGATTCAAAATGCTCACATAATTACTTGAAAAGATCGCAACACATTTGTATGAATCTCGAAATTTTGCCCCTATACTAATTATTGATTTAGAACTCATGAAATCCTTTAAAGTTTTTGTGAAAGCTTGTGTTAATTTTATATTAAGGGCCTCATGTTGACCTCTTCAAATGACAACCTTATGTCTGCTTGCAAGTCAGAATTATAGACCCAGTGGCAGTTTATAAGCTAATTTACATGCATTTTGATGCAGCATATTTTTAAAAATATTTGCACATTTTAATTCAATGTTTCAAAGTTAGAAGGTGTCTTAAAATGTAAATGTAAGCATTGATATTATTAAACTTTCCTGATTGCATTGCTATAAAATACATGCATATAAATTGAAAGCATGTAACTTGAAAAACTCTCACAAACCTTGGGGGTATTTATATTCAAATGAAACACTATCTTAGGAGTTGATAAAGTCAGAGACCATTTAAACATTTTGAAAGCTTGTGTGAATGTTATGACTTTATGCTGCACACATCTTCATTTCGAGCATCTTACTGCTTTGACTCTGCTTGCGAACTATAATTGCAAATCTTGTTGAAAAATTTTTCAAATTAAAAAAAAAATTCATATTTGAATTATGTTTCAACCCCTTAGAGCCTAGGTTTGGAAAACTCAATTTTAAATTAATTTTCACCCTAGAAGTCAAATTTTGGAAAAGCCCAATTTGAATTAATTTTTAAATCCTAGGAGCCTAACTTTGAAAAGCCACAACATTTAAATATTTTCAAATCCTATGAGCTAAACTTTAAAAACACAACTTCAAATATTTTCAAGTCTCAGGGGCATAAGATTTTTCTTTTTTAAAAGCTCATATTCAAATTATTTTTAGAAATCAAATTCTCCATATTTTAAATTATTTCATAAGTTGAAACAGTCCAAAACCTTAAGTTCTTTATAAGTCCAAATCAATCGAAAAATTTGACAACCTTCCGACGTCAACCCCTGTTAAAGGCACCGGAAAAAATGCCAACATTCCCTACTATCTCAAAAAACTTATTGGTTAGTGTTCTGAGAAAATATTACCGAAGAGCAAAAATATATATTCAACCCACGGTCTTAAAAGAAAATATAAGCCTTCAATGTACATGCAAAAAGATTAAATCACATGCAAGCATTTGCCCGAATAAGTGCACTTTACTTTCGTTGAGTGGTACTTAATTCCAAAAGACAGGCACTAGCATTTCTTAGGACAGTTATTTTAAATCTCCTGAATTTAAAAAAATATTCAAACGAGACTGCAATTTCACCGCACGGTAATTAATTTTCATGGACTGGTACTATTCCTTGGATAAATATTTTGAAAATTACCCTCCCACTTTCATCTTATACCTTTTGCGAGCGAGATCGACGACAAAGATGTTGATCAGCAAAACGATGTTGAAGCGACAACAACGAAATAAAATAAATAAAAATATATACAACCCTAATTTTTTTCTTCTTTTTTTGACAATGTAAAATGTAAAAATGCAAATAGTATGATAGAAAAATAAAGATTCATGTTGAGGGTTGACGGGCAATGGGGTTTGGACATAAAATTGGTTTTCAAGTCACACGAATACAAAGGGGAATGAGTTTTGGCTCTGCTTATAGAAAAAAGGAGTGAACAGGGCCTCACGACTTCGACTATGTTGTGCAAATAGGAGCAAGGAGAAGAAGCAGTTCAAATTCAAGCGGGACAGAGAGACGAAAGATTTCGACAATGTGTGGTTTGAATAGGGAGGAGATCAAGTGACTTGGGAGTTGCGGCAAAGAGGAGTGCGTGAGGTGTGGTGCGGTTAGGGCTTGTGGGGGACAGGAGGAAGTTGACATACAGAGATAAACAGTGGAGTGACACTGTACAAGTTGGTTCATACGATTGTTTGGAATTGAACAACTAATTTCAGTGGATGTCATACATGCATAAATGCAAGCACACATACAGACACGCATACATACAAACATGCACACTCACACAGGCACAACTCCTTAGTTTCTAACCTAGAGCTCGCAAGCGCCAATCTCAACGAAAGTCATACATGCATGCATGCATGCATACAAACACGCATACAAACATACACATAGACACGCACATGCACAAGCAGACGCGTGTTGACCTCATTTTTAGTGAGGTCTAGTCTTCCTCTTAGGGTTTAGGATCTAGCCTTAGGGACCTCCCTTGACTATCTTAGAACCTTAGAAGTGGTGCCCGCCTCGTTTTAGTTCGACCCGTTTCCGTCCTCTTTTGGAGTTTCGCGTGTGTGGTATCGACTTCTAACGCTTAGAAGGATGAAACCGACATGAG